GGGTGACACTTGTTCGAAGTGAAACTCAGGCAACGACACAAGTCGGTTTCCTTGAAAGAGTTCCCGCTTTTTTACAATTCGAAGTGAATAATTTGGGAAGTGGATATCTTGCATTGCAGGGCTGTTGACGTATTAAAAATGCCAAGGAACTTTTTACCCGGTAAGCCGTGCTCGTAGTTCGCGGCTGTTAATAAGCAAAAAATGTTTTTGTCAGTTTATAAGGTAGTCAAAAAAAAACTTCTTGCTTTAACAATATTGGCGAGGCATATAATTAAATTACACATCAGTATAGATTAACAGTAAAGTAAAGTAGCTTAACAGTAAAAGATAAGAATACGCTAAATAATAATAAGAACATAAAATGAGCTTAACACAGCATATTTTCACCCAACTGCGGCAGAGACTAAAACGCGTGTAATGTTTTCAGCTGGTATGAGCATATGCAAGTCCACCATAACTACTAAACTAGTCGTCGGATAAAATGACGTCGCATTCTGATAAAAATGACGATGCATTGCATACTATGGCATTTGTTTAATATATCATTAGTTTATCCATTTTGATACATTTAAAGCTTATATGCAGTTTTAGCTTTATTACCGGCGCATTATCATTAGATATTATATTAGTATCGTTATGCATAACTGTGCATTCAGTACCTTAGTGTCAATTACTTCCTTAAATAAGCAAATAATAGCGGGGAGTAAATTCTGAGTAAGAACCGCCGAAGAAGGCAAAGCTAAAGCTAAGATTTTTTTTTGATTTTTGACCATTTTGACCCCCTAGGAGTGTACTGAGAACTTTTTGCCTCCATCCTCTACATGATAGGCTTTTCAAACTGACTAGGCCTAAAGTTCGAGTCACCCCCCAACTCATTTGTAATCTTTACTTCCAATTAGAAGAAAGAATATATTTTATTTTCTTTAATTTATGTTTATTTAGAAATATATATTATGGTTGTCGTTTTTAAATTATCGAAGTGTATTTAAAACTTTTGAAACTCCTTCCAGTGAAGTTGAAAGAAGTGAATGTCCGTAATATAGGATATCTGTCAAATTTCACTGCAACGCACCCCTCTAAAATCGTCACGGCTAGAACGTGAAATGTTCCGGAACAACATTGCGTCAACTCCAATGACAACTCAGATTTTCGTCTCACGGAAACATTCAACGTCATTATATCGCTATTAAGGTCTGTCCCTGACACTACACATATTTTTTGCTATTCGCGAACCCCGCCTATGGCCTTAATGAAGTCATTTGTGTCATGTTTATTGCTTTTATGGCGTACTCTGGATTTTGTGGTAAATTTTCAAGGCGCAAATTGACACTGAAATAATGGTGCCTTAATTAGTGTGCACACGTGGTGTCCGGATCGGTTTTTGTAAGAACTTTTTGCGATGGCCACACAAATAATTGCTACTTGCGTTTTTTCGAGTGAATATCGTTAATCTGATATAACTGTTTTTAATGTTACCTTTTTAATTGAGTTGGGAGAGGAAGTTTAAAGCGTAAGTTGATGGTTAATTGGTATCTACAGACTAATTGAAGGGCATGTCGTTTTTATTTTTATGATTTATAAGCATATTGATACAATTAAGAAACAAATAAGTACGTCTAATTATATCCATCGTATGTGAAGTGGTGACGTAAGAGAATTCACTATCCTATATCATCCCCGTGCCGTGGGTGACTGACCGACCGAAGGAAATAACGAATAGGTACCAATCAATTTCTATCACTAAATAGTAGTGCTTGCACTGTTGTGTTTTAGTCTAAAGAATAAAGAGACAATAACAGGCCGTGAAGCGTTCTACCTTACCTCAGCACTTCTGAAGCCTTCTTTGTTAAAGTTGGCTACAGATGCAAATGGAGTACAGCAGCCACTTAATTACTATTAGGAAAAATGTAAGCTCGTTTGTCGTTTTTTTAAATAACAATCTTTCTGATAACAGCTCTAAATAATTAAAAATGTTGGTTGCGATCCCACCTGTCAAGCAAGGCAAATATGGAAAATATTCCTGAAGTGGCTGGCCATGCGACTTGAGGGCTCGACAACCGATGGGAAAGAAATGTTCTCGAAAAACAGTCTTAACTGGCAAGCACAGTTTTAGATGACCAACCTCTAAAAATGACGACCTAATATAACACAGAACCGACTTGATGGAGGCTTGTGGGAGTCCGTTGTCCAGCAGTGAAAGATGGGCTACAATAATGATTATGATGTAATTTGTTAAACTATTTTGAAAGATATTGAGAAAATAATTCCGGGAATTATTAATTTTGTGTTCTCTTCGTATCCAAATGACGTTTCTTATCAAAATCACTGTCACATAAGAACAGTAACTCAGGTGTTATCTGTAACCGCGATTCGTTATTTATATGATAATTAAATAATTACATTTTAAGTTCCAGTTGCGTTTTGCAAACGCAACTCAATCAACATGAATTAACTCTCTGCGTAATCTCTTAGTGATCTGCACTATACATAAGTAAGGAAAAGGCCCTATGATTCTTACATCCTACTCCCGGAAGGCTTTTATGGCTTAGGTAATTAGAGTCACTCAATTAACCACTACTCGGGCTCAAAGAATTTTTGTTAATTATTAAAAAGGTTGCACTTAAGTCCCGGTGTAAGGAAGACGTTAATTACGCCTGAATAAAAGATAATAAACGGTGCAGTTAAGACGTATTATTTAGTATGGAGAAATTTATGAGTTCACTTTTGGTGAATGCTACAGTTTATTCATACTTACTTACTCTAGATTTCTATACCTTTTAAGCATATACACATTACACGTGTAGGTGTATAGAAAACAAATCTTCGTTTTACTAATAAATACTTCTGTTTATCATCTCGTAACTGTTCACTGCTGGACATGGGTCTTTTCCATAGTGGAGAGAATATACATGGCGATTGGTTTACCATATGTTTCGCGATATTGACGTTGCTCCCTCTCATCCATCGGTCTGGATATTTTCCATCTGATACATTTACCTTAAGATCGTTCTGGCTCGTCTCATAGTCACCTGTTACGAACGCGATGAAATAGGTTCATGGAATTGGAATCTCATAAGCGGCCACAACACGGTCCTAATAAATATGTCAATTATTATGTCTATAAAAATTTACAATATTAGTTTTAAGAAAGGTTTAGGTTCAATTTAATGATGTATTAACTATATAAGTATAGTCTAACCAATAAGCAAAACCTATTTAACTAGTTTTCAAAACTTTATGTTTAACTTTTCTCACGATTCCATTGAAGTGTTTTTCAATATACGAGTGTAGATAAGGCAGCTTCGTACTTGAGATAATTAAGCCATTAAATTGGTTGGTAACCCCTTTCACACTGTGAGAAGTGCGCTCGAAACGAAACGGAATCGATTTATTTTCGTATCAATTTTATTACGGACCACGCATGGTTTTAGTGTTTTAAATCTTCGAGGGATTGTGGTTGTTTTGACATGTACATACAACGGTCTGTGTTATTATATAACAAACAAAGTATTTATATATCGCTGATAAAAACGAACGTAAATTTCATGGAAATGTAGTTTAAACACAAAGAAAGTGACTAGCACGAAATAGATTATATAACTTAATATTACACATGGTATTAACGTTGTATCAGGAATGAGTCGGCTCGTCCGGAGAAGGACCCGCTTTCACAGGATATTAGTGTAAAGTAGCACTTTAATGCTGCTACCTTACGATAATATTTTAATTACTTATGGTAAAATAGCAAAAATACCCTTTTTGGGTATTTTTCCTATTTTACCTGGAAGCGAGGTATTCTATCTTAGTCCTCAGGGGTGACAATGCATTTGCATTTTGATTCTTGATCGAATATCTTACCTCTGTAGGTGTCTATGGGCCATAGGGTTCACTTAACATCAGGTGAACTGTGTGGTTGTTCACACTTATTCAATGTGAAAATATATTATATCAACTTTATGATTTATTTGTCACAACATTATGTGTTATTTTCACAAAATTATATAATTTCCCTATAGAAATGACTATAATATTGTAATTATTTTTTATCAAATTTACATATAATATGACCAACTAATATAAGCCCAACTTTTCCGCGAAGTCATTATGTATATTACTTTTAAGGAGCGCCAAAAAAATTGATCTCACGAAATGAATGCATTGATTGGTCACCCGTTATGTAGGTGCTCGGCAGTCTTGACACCCAAAAAAAAAAGAAAGGAATAATCTCAGCATGAGTTCGCAAGCCTATACATTAAAAGCACGCAAGCTGGCTTGCAATGAGCCTCCGCGATACATAACCGCATCGCCGCGGGTTGCATTCTGCCAGGGTTGTCGTACTCGTTTTGAATGCGTTAAGAAAATGCGTCGAGATTGGATTCTTGACCGCCAATTAACCAAATTTGCCGACCAATTTCTTTTAAATAAAAGTGGTGTTTTTGATCGCCCCTTTGTCAAGTAAAGTCAAGCGAATAATTACTCTACATCTTTGATTATCTAAGATGCTTGGACGATTGATAAAATTATTATATATAGATACCTACTCGTAATTATGAATTACGTACCGATGCCTTCATTTAAAACAGTAAAGGGAGTCTTTTTTCGAAGTGAGTTTCTTTTTAAATGAAGTAGTTTACGTTGTTCTAGTTTTGATATTAGTTTAATACACTAGAAGTGTCTTATCCGCGAGATTTATGCGTAAGATATATTAATCACTTTTGCGTGGCGTTTTAATTCCTTTGTATGCTTGCGGCACTGCAAAGGTCGACGCCGGCGCTGTTTATCAATATCGACGGCTGAACGAAATGAAGCTGTCGTCACGACCAATTGTACCGCCATTTCAACTAAGACTCTTAAGACAAGTACTTCCATTCAACATTCAAAAACTTGAAATGCTCTGACAGCAGGGAACTCACCGTATTTCCCTTTTTTCTGATCCTAACGTAGGTACTTATTGAACATTTTTATTTGGTTTTTAATTAAAACTCTTATTCTTGTTACAGGAGCAAACGGTCTCAGGAGGCGGGGGAGACAAACCTACACCAGATATCAAACGCTAGAGTTAGAGAAAGAGTTTCACACGAATCACTACCTCACGCGAAGGAGACGCATAGAGATGGCGCATGCACTATGTCTCACGGAGAGACAGATCAAGATATGGTTCCAGAATCGAAGGATGAAATTAAAGAAGGAGATACAGGCTATAAAGGAATTGAACGAGCAAGAGAAACAGGCGCAGGCACAGAAAGCAGCCGCGGCTGCTGCGGCGGCGGCCGCCGCGGCCGCGCAGGGCCATCCAGAACACTAGAGCCCTGCCATTTCGTACCACCTAAATGCAACGGACACTCCCTTTGTAAATTGTTTGTAATTATTTTCACGTTATTTAAGTGTTGTTCGGTTGTTGTGATTATTTTTAAAAATCAATTCTAACGCGTCAGACTTAACGTTTTTATCAAACGAATTAAAAACTGTCAACGTTAGAATACAAACGGGTCGTATTATTTGTGTTTCGGGTTTTGTTTGAATTTGTTTCTCACTGTTTTGTTGATTTATTGATTCTTTAAAATATTTTTATGCGCGCTATCGTCGTAGATGTTCGCGTTCTAAAACCAGTGCAATTTGTAGAAATCTCTTCCGTGTATCATAGTGTAAGTGTATTGTAGTGCGTTTTACATTACGTTCAACTTAAAAGCCTCCGGCTCGGCAGCATCGGCGAGATGGACATTAATTACATTGTACAAATTAAACATGCCTACCAAAGAGACCCGGTCTCCTAAACTTAATTAAAGCTAAGTAAGAATGAATCTATTAGTCGATCGACTGCCACTTCATTAATGTCGGACTTGTGTGACTCTGTAACAACCTTCCGCGCCATTTAATCCTTCAATACTCTCGCATAAGTATAGTGTAAACGTGATCGTGTTCCTGCAATTTAAATAGTCGGTGAAGTTAAACAAATTGCCATAAATATAAGTAGTTATTATTTTAGACTTTAGCAGTGTAAATAGTTAGGGTATTGGAAGTGAGCAGTTTGCGATTGCGCCGGCGCCGTGGAATGGGCAGAAAAAGGCACAGGAAAGCTCGGGTGGGAGTGAGGGACGTGCGGTTGGAGGGGAGCGCGCGCCGCCGGCCACCGAACAAGACTAGGTGAGTTTTTGTCAAAGTCAGCGGCATTATTTATCGAGTGGAGACGGTCGCGAAAAACCGACTCGTCGTCACCAGTCGACGCGCGACGCCATTTTTAAAATCGCCCAAGCGAGACTTCTACGGTATAGCTGTTTTGCAATGTTTCAATTCACTAAACTAAATGCAGCTTTGATCTTTTCCGACCGTCTCCAGCTCGCTGCTTAAGCAATGATTTTAGCTGGTAATGTGTTACTCCTCACTCTCGATTACCTATGTATATGAATAATTAGACCTCGAACGCAGTAAGTATTTTCAAATTAATTAGCCAATTATATCTGACATTGATAAATTTCTACGGACATTATCATGATCCAGCTGTGTAAAGGGTGAATGTGTAAAGTGTTAAAAAAGAGCGTGGCACAATGGTGGTTTTATATTTCGTAAGCATGTATAATGACTTCATCGGCTTTAAACTCCGAATGATCGGAGGGGACATCTATTAATTAAATCGATTATAGTCTGTTTTATCGTGGACGCCGATTATGGTAACGAAACGGTCAAAGAGTTCACTAAAAACTGAATTCCTTGCTCTCCGACCGGCGTACGGTCGGTGGAAGAAATAACCACAAATGCCATTCGACGTATTTGGCCATGTTATAGACGTCGAGAAATGCTGAATAGCTCAGTCCGTGTGTGCGTGTCACCTCGTTAAATTAGGATTTTAATCTCATTTCTTAAGACCCGGTGTTTGTAAAAAATGCCTATCGAGATACCATCCAAATCGATTTGAAATCTCAATTTTCAGTTACGGCGGTGTATTCTTTTAGTGAGATTTCTGCGTAAATGTACAAATGTACACCATTTCTGTACGTATATTAATATATATAGAGTATACTTTTTGATGTTGTATTAAGACAAGTGCGTTCCTATATTGGAACTTTTCAATAACATTTCAACATGTATAGTCATAGTATAGGTACCTATCGTTATTGTCTTTTAAGAATTGATTAGACTAGGAAATTAATTAATTTTAATATCAAAATGTTTGTGATTTTATATTGTGAAATAAAGTACTTGTTTTGAAATTTCTTTTTTTTTAAGGCCGTACGTTCTTATTATTAAAACTCTTTATAAAATTCTATTTGAACGATAATATTCTCTATTAATGTTTTATTTGATATTAATTCTCTTCGTAATTTTATATGATATTCAGGAGATCCATAGTTATGTTTTTTTTAAATATTAATTATTCTGTGGTTATGGTAGGATATTTTATAAAATTTCAAAAAGATCATTGTCCTATTATTAAAAAGATCGTCAAATAGCATAAATAATGCAGAAAGTAGGCAGTGACAACGACAGTATTTTTTGCTGACCCTTCTCCGCCGCCGTCTTCGGGTCCATGACCTGAGTTGGTCCAAAGATATCGGATAATTATTTGGTCCGTACGAAAAAATATTGCTTACGTTGGTACAGACACATCACGAGCTGCGAATTTTTTTAAGGATTTTACAGTAGCCTCTATACAAATAATTCTTATTTTGTTTATTGAAAGCTACATATTGCCTAAGTCCATTGCTGAACATGTGCATCTCCTGTAAATGCCCCAAAGCACAGGCCTGAGCAACCTGCATATATAGAGTTGTGTGGTCATTAACTTGTTCTGATGCCTTCTTAGTAATCCAGTGTCACTTCACACGATGTCACGGTTTCGTAAGGCATGACAGGCAACACGTACAGGTTGTATTTTTTCCTTAAAATCTGAGCTATAACGGACGCAAATATTTGTCAAAATTTCTCGAAATCAGCTCAGCGATGTTGTATTCATCGCTTGACAGCTTAGTCAAAGTTGGACATATATATAAAATAAAGCTATGCTACATACTCGAATACCTTGTCCCAGATACATAACTCATTAAGAATTTTGAGAGTAGAGTTCTTAAAGGCTACCGGCAAGTATAACATCTAACAGCATAATCTCATATAATTGACCCCTATCAACAAAAATATCGTCATAAAAACTATACATATTACGACCCATTCATTGGGAGACTGTTGAAGTCATTGAGCATAATGCTAGGGTTCTTCAGTGATTTCGGAATAATGACTGTAGTTTTTCGGTGAATACGACTCTAGTTATGTACCCGTTCTTTATTCCTCATTAGCGTTGAAATCTTGTTATTTTCATGTGAAAATATGATATAACATCAGCCTGTCTTACACCTTCTTATAGATAGATGTGTCGGTTTGGTTTTCTTATAAAATAATAACAAACGAACATACTTAGTACAGTCCACCTGGATGGTAAGTGAATGTTGTGGCCCATTGACTTATACATTTGTCTTCGACAAATCACTATCACCCTTGAAGACTAAGAAAGGATGCTTCGTTACATACCAGTAAAAAGGGTCTTTGGTCTACGGTACTGGATGAATATCGAAGCCTTATTGTACAAACACTCGAGTCGTCGGGTCGTGCAAGCAGAAAAGGTTATGTAAGAAAGAAGTCCACTCGGGAAAGTACGTATGTACTTAAGGGATAATATACCTTTTTTCGTTTGGTTTAATAATATTTCCATAAGTTTTAATTGTATCGGCATAGCAATTACTTCACTAGTAGTGTACTGAATCACTACGATAGCGAAGAAACTAACTGTCTATATTAGGTAGTATTTTACTTTCATAACAAATATAAAGTGAAATCTGAAGCTACATTCCATTTAACCAAAGATAAGAATACTTGAAAGTTAAAACGTTATCAAAATACACAGCGGGCTAGAGTCAATTAAAACAACTACAAACAAGCAATTCTTAAAATCTTTGACACTTAATTTTGACATTCCTAAAGAATATAATGCTGAGACTCGTTCACAAAGGAATAAAACTGCTTTGGAATTTTTATCGACATTTATCGTCACATCCGTTCCTTGCTATTAAACTCCATTATATTTTTATATTTATAGAAGATAATTGCTTGATGATGATAAAACATGCCTAGATGGAATGACGATCTCATAAGAGGGGTAGAAAATGGGAGATTGAGGTGTAAAGGTATGACAAAAAAAAACTATATTTATTAACATTTTATTCAAAGTGAAAAGTAAAGGAGCATCCTCAGCGCTGCTACAATGCGTGTTTCCATTCTTCACAACTCCGCCAAATACTTTTTTATTCTTAGAATATTCTTAGACATGCATGTTTATCTTCATTACCCAGTACAAAATGCGGTAAATCAGCACTTGAAATTACGAATAGAATTTCACTGGTGCTGCTCGAAATCGATTTCTGATTCTCAAGTAGGTAGGTACTATGAATAATTTCCATTGGATTTGAGAATCGAGAGTTCGATTCGAGGCAAGGGCTAATGGCTTGAACTATCACGGCTTGATTATCATTATTATCCCATAATAACTGCGATATATATATATATATTTACTATATATAAAAATAGTTATAATTGGTAATTTCGTAAAATTACAAACCGGAAAATCCATTAACTTACATCAGGTGTCATAAAGGCAAGTAGGTATACTTTATTTCTTTTATGGCTGCTATTGTAAATTTTGAATAAAACACGTAGACTGTTCTTAATTAGGATATTTGAATAATGCATGATGTATTAATCAGTATAGGTACGTGGCGACGGCATATATTTATTTATCGACTTGATTTATATTCAACGGGCGTTTCTTATTAAAATATTGCAATTTTATAAGGCTTCTGTTTTAAAACCTGTTCGAATGTAATAAAAGGAGCGGATGGGTACTCGAAAGGCGCGGGCGGGCGAATAGCGGTGCATATATCATCATGTACCAACTAAGGCCGACCTCGGCAGCTGTACTGAGATGAGAGATCTCCTTTCTTATGTAGCGAGCAGTCGACGCGAGTTCATGCGCTCCTGGTAATTTATTGGATGGAATTTTTAACTCTTAATAAAAAGTGTTTTAACGCTTAAAGCTGGAATACACACAAAAACAATAAAATTAAATACAATTCATAGTTTGAAAGGTTGAAAATTCTATTTAAATAGCATACTTATGCTTTTTTGTACTCATTATTATGCTTTATTAATAATACTTTTAACCATAAAAGTTTCTTTACATTTAATTAACGTTTTGATATTTTAATCAGCATCAATATTGTGTTTAAGAAGGGGTAAAATTCTTTGATCTCATTCGTAATTAGAACATTGTACCCAATAATAAAATAAAGTAGTTTTCATTTACTTATTACGTACTTAACTTTATATACACAATATTTAAGTATTTTATCCTTAGCAACATATTATTGTACCGTCACTATCATTAGTGATGATTTAGTAGAGTTATACTAGACCACAACTCTTCTGCTGAATAGGTACTAATATATAGATCTATCTGATCTAATAATAAATATAGTTATCTCCTTTAGAGGATTAACAAGACGATCTTGTGCCACCGGCATCAATTAGTTACCAATAGGAGACTTACCCTAGTAAAATTGCTTTCACCAAGGGTTGCGGTATAAGAAAATCCACTACCTCTTATTGCATGTATCGTGGGTGTCGGAAGAGGTGATAGAGAGAAACTGAAGACGGAAGAAAACGGAGGTGGGCAGCGACATCGTCCTGATAATAATTTAAAATAATTAAATCTATGATTGCCAACCCGCCTGCCAAGCGTGGCAACTATAGAAAATGTCCATCCTATGTGCCAATCTATGAGGGAGGCTTATGTACAGCAGTGTAATTTGAAAGGTTGTAATGATGATGATGATTAGAATTTACTTAAAATTCTGAATGCCCTTTATAAATTTAATTTTGCAATTAAATGAAATACAAGAAACAATCTAAATCATACCTCTCTGTATAAATCGAAACGCTTCGTATTATACCGAGTAACCTACCATACAAAGCAATGTACGGTTTCGTTACCGGAGACACTCGTGCATGTCGATACTATCGCCTCACCCGACCTGCCCCGGCTGTACACGACTTTTCCACTTATATAGTAAAGGTTTGCTGTGGAACCTTAGCTCTTGAGA